AGGGCGGAAGGGGGTGATGGCAGGGCAGCTGGGGTCTGAGAGCAGAGGAGGCAGTGACTGGCTCCTAGTTCCTACCTGGTAGGTTGTCCTTCCCGGGCTCCAGGCTGTGAGCCACCCCTCGGTCTCTCTCCATGGGCATTTCAGACACAGGTTTTCGGGGTAGAGCTCCTCCTCGGGGACCTGAAGATAGGGAAGACACAAAGGAGGGGGCTGAGATAGCTGCCCCTGACTTACAGGGACCACCTAAATCTCCCTCAGCTCCTAGCGGGTGTCCCCGAGCCCCACTCACTTTGTCCCACGCGCAGAAGCACCTTCATGCCTCTAGTGAGGCACACACCTCCCTGCAAGCTCTCCAGGCCTTCCCGGGTCCCATCTGATGTGGCTGAGAACAAGAGCAGGCAAAGAAGTCAGCACTCCAGGTCTAGCCCAGGTCTCTTCCCACACCCTGGAGGGACACTAGTGAATGCACAGAGGTGGATTCCAATGGTCCTCCCTTCCTCGCCCTCCATCCCAGGGACTCTCTATTGGTCCTGCCCTCCGCCTGGCAGTACCAATTATGTAGTAATCGTGGTGGGATCGGAACTCGTGGCCCCAGAGGTTAGGGCTGTATTCCTGGAACTTGATGGTGAAGCGGAGGTCCAGGTCTGGCCGATCACATGTGAGAAGAAGGTTTGGGGCAGGGGGTGCCTCACAGCGCCGACCCTGGGCACCCCCTACCAGGTACAGCTTGTAGAACTCATAACTGGGAGAGGAGTGCGGCCCAGGAGGCCGGACCCGGGGACAAAGTAGATCTAGCCGGTCCCCGATCTGAGGGTAAAGCACATAACCACCCTCTGCCTGGAACCTACAGGGAAGACAAGGCAGACAAGGAAGCAATGTCAGGGGTGTGGTGCCCAAAGCTTTCCCTCACTCCCTCCCAACCCTCCAGGACAGCAATTCTTAGCTCCCACCCATCGCCTTTGTTTGAGTCCTGTGTTCAGTAAGCGCGGGCACCAAGGGCCCTGCTAGCTCACATCAGAAGCAGCAGGAGGCCAGGCTCAGAGGTCTCCTGCCCCTTGGTGTGCCCAAATGCACTCTTCAGCCCGCCCTCACCACATGCACACTGCCATCTCCCGCTCCATCGCCAGTGTCGTTGCCATGGCAACGGGATGCCAGTTACCAAGGAGCTGGCCTCTCTGGAACCACACAGCCCACCCCTCCCAGGTGATTTCACTATTCCATGGCAGTCAACCATGGGGGTAGAACCTCCCCCTCCTCCAGGCCACCACTGAAATTCAGGGCAAAGGGGGCAAGGTAGAGGTTGAGGGGGGCGTGGGGGCATCCGGACCAGTTTCCCAAGTTAGCCAGTTAAGGAGACACGAAGCAAATGCTAGTTTGGCATTGATCACAATGGGGCTGATGAGAACCAACGTACAGGGGCCGACCACCCAGATCAATCTCCTTCCTGTATCCCACCTTGCGGCTCAAACTTTCTGAGGAAAGTGCTTTCTTGCTTTGGAGTTGAAGTAGTTGACTTCTGTGACCATGACTGGCACAACCCAGCATAGATCCTTGGCCAAGAAGCTTGGGAACCCATGGGCACAGCACAGCCTCAACTTGCCTGCCACTGCAAGCCCTGCCCGTACATCCACAGTAGAAACTGAGTCCCAGGAGACTGCTGCCCAGCATCTGTCTGGACCCCAAATGACCAGGCTCCCACCCAACATCCAAGAGTCTCAGATGCCCTAATGCCTTTTCTCAACCCTCTCAGGATAGCCCAATTTATACCCTCAGGCTACATCTGCTACTCCAAACTGCAGCCAGGAGTTGCTGACAGGTGGGAGAGCCTGAGATTACCCCTAGCAAGATACTGGAGGAAGAGGGTGTACCAGGCAGGATTAGGACAGGGCAGAGAGGCCAGAAAGCAAAACACGGAAACAAACAAAACCAATCCTACCTCTCCTTTCATGAGCACATAATACGTCCAAATACCTTGCCTCCAATCCTCCTAACAGCTGCAAGGACTGAAGACACAAACTCAGAAAGGTTAAGTGATGTGCCTAAGGCTGCACAGCAGCAAGCCACAGAGCTAGGATCAGACCAAGTACCTGGTGAACTCCGAAGCCCACTCCCTCCCAGGACCTCTCCTGGCCTCCCCAGAGAAGTGGGAAGTTTCTGAAACAGAACTCTTGTGCTGATGGTCAGGGAAAACACCACGGAGGCAAATCACTTAGATGACCTCCCACAGGTCCTGTCAGCCCTGTGTGACTGACCCTTTTCAACCCAAAGCAAGCATGCCAGGGAAGAGTCCCTGATGGGAGGTTTGCAGCCAGGAGAACAGGAGAGGGCAATTGTATCCTCAGGACTCCAGCAGCAAGAGGGAAAGGAGAGAGGTTTGAGGAGGCTCAAGGCTCACCCTAGAAAGAATCCACCAAACCAGGGAGACATGAATATACTCTAGCTGACAAGTCATTCACTAGTCGTCTGGCTGGGAAGGCGAGTTGGGATGGTGAGCTCCAACACTGAGTGCTCCTGGGAGCTGGGCATCCCTGCCCTTTCCCTCCGTGCTTCAGCAGCACCTAGTCAGCACCTCTCTCCTGAGAGCTGACATTAACCAGGCTCGCTTCAACCCAGATGACACAGGTCTCCTACAGATCCAAATAGCCACTCCACTGCCCTCTCGCTGCCCGTGAACTTTTTATCTCTGCCCCTGTGAGGTCTCCAAACTCCTGACACATGGCATCACCACCCACATCCAGCTCTGTGAGACTCAGAGTCTGGCTCCTAAGATCATTGCTGTCTTGTAACCTGTCACCTCATCTCAGGGCTACAGCATCCTTTTGCCAGCCTCCTCCCAGCTCAGAATCCAAACCCTTTAGTTTCAAAGCTTCCACATCCCTTACCCACGGGAGCTGGAGTCTCCCCAGTCCCAGGCCACTCACCTCTTATTTGCCGAGTTCCAGTAGACAGGCTCCAGGCTGAGTCCAGACACCAGCCCCGCAAAACCTAGCAGCAGTATGGCCCCGACTTGCACACCCCTTGGCCCAAAATGGGGGGTCCCCATGACCCTACCAAGGCCTGGGGGCGGGGCACCAACTCCCCTAAAGTCTCTCACCCCCCAGGGGTGGCTACCACGCTGTGGAGCCCCAGTCACCCTGGTGGGTGGCTAATCACCCCCAGCTCCCACAAGGACCCTCTTTTCTGCTGTGCCTGTGCCTGGGCTCCAGAGCGCTCAGCTTCACAAGAACCCTTCCAGGGGCCGTCTGCAGGCGCCCTACGCGCCCCCGGCCCACGCGCCAGCACCTCGGGATTTGTGCGCCCGGCTACGTGGGGGACATGGGGAGCCGAGGACCGGGCGGGGGCGGCATGGGGTGTCGGGCAAGGCAGCGAGGAAAGAGACACCGAGCCGGAGCCTCAGCCTCGCCGGGATTGAGGGCAGCAGGCTAAGGGAGGAAACCAGTCCCGAGCCCAGGAGGGGGGAGTTAAAGGAGAGGCGGGGAGGGGGAGAGCATGGTGGAGGGAAAAACCGGAGCTGGAGCTCAGTCGGAGCGGGCGTCGCATCCCGCGGCCCACGCCCCCCACACCTCCCTCACCTCGCGCACCTCCCGTCCGCTACCCCGCCTCGCTGCCCCGCGCGGTCTCTCACGCCCCCTTTGTCTCTCGCAGTGTCCGTCTCTGGATGAGTTTCTGCTTGCCTTCCTGCCCTCCGATTGCCCGAGCGGGTGGAATCTTCCTCGCTACCATCTAGAAAGCTTCTTGCCCTATCCGCCCCGAAAAATCTTCCCCCTTTGCTCCCGCAGCCTGCCCCTCTTCCATCTCAAAACACCGCAGCTTCCGAGCGGCCTGGAGAGGGTAATGATAACCTTGAAGGCAGGCACTTCACAGAGTATGGCTAAGTTGGTGGTCTACCTGTGCGAAGTGGGAGGGGGCAGAGCTACCCGGGTTCAGAGAGTATCCCGTGACTTGCCCAAGGTCACACGGGGAGTTTAGGAAAAACCGAAAATACAACCTAGGCTTCTGAACCCCTTTCCTAGGGACCCTTCTGTCACAGCTTCTCTGACCCTTGGCTCATTTCTGTGGATCAGGTGGAGACAAGGGAGTAAAATTTTGACCCTTCTTAGGTGATCATGGAGAGAAGTGAGACTGGGAGAGGAAAGGGGTACCTATAACCCCCAAAGCTGCACTCCACAGGAAGGGCTGTTTCCAATTATCCTGGGGGAAGGGAGGAGCTGCCTTCTTGGGTGTAAGAAGCAAGGCTTTCAGCACCTCCCGGCAGGGGCGGCATTCCTCTCCTTCCTGCCCAATCCTCCACAGGCAGCCCCTTTCCCTTTGACTGAGGTCCCCACCACAGCCCCCGTTGACAACATCTCTTCAAAGACTCCCATTCTGGGTGTTTGACAAGGTGTGTGAGGAGGGGGATGGAGGGATGGAGAGGCACGCAGAGTGCCGCTGCTGAAGGAGCAAGCCCCTTGCCCTGGCGCTGCATTCTAGAGACCGACAGGAAGCCACCGTGTTTCTCCGTTCACTCCTTCCCGGGTGTCCTTGACTCTACCTATAGGGTGCAGTGGGGCAGTGTTCTTGCACCCTTGCCCTCTGCAGCTGGAGGATGGTAAACAGTGCGGTGTGCAGCCATCAGCGCTGACTTGGCTGTCACTGTCTGCTTAGTCTCTCACAGTCACACTCAACAGTCTGCCACCGAGCTCCAGCCGCCCCTGCTCAGGCCAGCTCACCCTGACCCCCGGTGCAGCCACCTCAGGAGTGAGATTTCAAACAGGTTTGCTCCTCAGTTTACCAAGTTGCCTAGCAACCATCTAGTCAATGGCATGAGGCCCCACCCCCACCTGCTTGACTTCACACCATGCTCAGCACCTCATTGGCTCCTGCCTGGTCCCACCTCTCAACCCCTGGTTTTGGGAACAATATGCCAGACCCCACAGATGCTGGACAAAGGAACCTACTGAAGCTCCCTCCAAACTCCCGCCAGTCACGTGCCACCCCAAACAGACACAATGACTCCAGCATCATACAAAATCTTTATATTAACTCATCCCCACAGCCCTCTGTCCTTCCTTGTCCCTTCTCATCTTGGTGGTCATCAGGGTTACTGGGGTCTGGTCCCCCTCCACACCACCAGAGCTGAAGCCGCCATTCAGGATGGGCGTGGCATAAAGACAGCAGGGGAAGATCCAGCTCCGGCTCGCCTTCATCCCCACTATTGGTGGGCTCCGGAAACATGCGCTGGCCAGAAGCAGTAGCCAGCAGAGGCAAGCTGGGGTGAAGGCTAGAGGAGAGAGAGCAATCTGTCAGCACCGAGGTCAGGGTGATCCGTGGGGTAGGGGATCCACCTTCCTCCCCAACCCCAGCTCCTTCGGTGAACTGAGGACCTCACTCCATTGGTGCAGTCCTTCTGGGGCAGAAAGGTCAACACAGGTTCCAGCTTGTTGTCACTGAAAGCTCCCTTGATGTCCCACACAGAGACAACTCCGTTGGTGTTGCCACTCACTAGGAACTGCCCACTCCTAGGAAGAAGGGAAACTTGTGGGCAGATGCATCACTCTGGGGGTAGAAGCCATTCCAACTCAGGGGCCTAGGATGCAGCCAGACTCCGTCTGACATCCTTGAACCTGGAAGAAGCCACAGCCACTTACGGGTCCAGATCAAAGTAGATACGCTGATTGGTGCTCACTTCCCGACTCAAAGACCACAGGACGTGGCCAGGCTGCCGCAGATCCCAGCACAGAAGTTCAGCATCCTGAAGACAACAGGGGTCAAAAGTGTGCCCCCTCTCCTCCCCCGCCGATTCTCTCATTCTCTCTCTCTCCTGCCTCCAACTCAGCCTCCCTGAGTCCCTCCCATGACAAATGACATCCACTCCTGCCAACCCATAGGCTTTGGGCTCTGACCAATACCTTTCGGGCTCCTGAGAAGAAGAGGTTGCCATCGGGGTGAAAGCAAAGGTGGGTGACACCCCCTTGGTGGCCTCCCAGCAAGGCGAGAGGAGAACCATCATCCCAGGCATACAGGCCTACAGTACGGCCATAGGAGCCGCAGGCATAGAGGGGCTGGGAGGGGCTGAAGGCTAGACAGGAGATGATGCCACTCTGGCCCTGCTTTTTTGCTGGAGAGGAAACAAGAGAGCAGTTAGCACAGGATAGTTTGAGGGACCTCTGTACCCTGACAATGCTGACATGCAGGAGGAACTCATCCCCCCCACTCTGTTTGTCACATCTGCAGTTCTCTGACGCTTCCCAGATCACTCAGCCCCCCCTCTCCCTGCTTCTCTCCCACTTTCTCCTGGAAGGTGTGGAGAGCTACAGGTCTACAGGAAATGGACTCCCTTTCCCTTCGGTTTCGTGAAGTTTAGTGGCACAGAGTTTGCCTAACACAAGACCCTGGGTTCAATCCCAGGCACTGAAAAAAAGAATAAAATAAAAATAATTTCTAGCTATTAGCAAGGTTTTGAGAGCACCAAGTACGCATTTGACAGGCATGGATGGGTTAGGAGTTAACCCAGCTTTCTAGCCAACTAGTTGACTGTGGGAGAACTTCCTCCATGCCCAGAAGTGAGCGTCTCCTCTGCAGCTGGCAAGTGCCTCCCAGGCTTGGGTGGAGGATGAGAATCCCACAGGTGGCCCCAGCCCCTTCACAGGTGCTACTCTTCCATCTCCTCCCCCTCAGAGACTTACCAAACGTAGCTCGCACCTCGCAGTCTCTACCAGGCCTGGATGTGGAGAAGACACGCACGGTCCGGTTGAAGCCACAGAAGAGTTGGGAACCATCCGGTGAGAAGCAGAGTGAGTGGGCAGCTGTCAGCTCATCCTAGGGGCAGGAGAGGGCTGCAAACAGGCCTGCGGAGCTTCAGCTGCCTTCCAAAAAGGAAGGCGGGGCCACAGTGAGCACAGGGGCTGGGCAGGGAAGTCGGTACCAGGTGGTTGTAGGCGCGGAAGGAAGCCCGGAGCTCTCCTGTGAATGCGTCCCAGATGTGAATCGGGTTCTCCCGGCTGCTGCTGGCCACACTGAGAGAAACACGGACACTGAGTCCTGGGTAAGATGATGGGAACGCATGACGAGGGGCACATGAAGGATATCACGTATCACTTACTAGGAGGTTTCTGGCTGGGCGGAGGACATCAGAGAATACCAGCAGTAATCATAGATGGTGTCACCCTCCACCATCCGAAGGACAGGAACCTGGACAGAGATGTGGGAATGCTGGGGTCACTGGCAGGGGAAAGCAGGGGAAAGCTTGGGCACCTCCCCCAGGGGGTGTTGTGACTGGGTGGAGGACTCCCGAGGGAGAAGAACGCAGGGGGCGAAAGAGCAGTCTTTACTGTCCAAGTCTGATGTCAGGCCAGGGCCACCAAACATAGTCAATCTCAGTAGAGAGTCACAATCTTTTGCCTTTTTTTTTTTTGGGGGGGTCTGGTTTTTTTTTGAAACAGGGTTTCTCTGGGTAGCCCAGGCTGTCCTGGAACTTGCTTTGTAGACTAGGCAAGCCTCGAACTCACTGAGATCCACTTGCCTCTCCCTCCCAAATGCTGAGATTAAAAGCTTGCGCCATCACCTCCAGGCCATAAAAAATTTTTAAACACTTACACAAGACACAAATAATACCCTAATATAGAGACAAAGAACAACCAGGTTCTATGCCATTACCCTTTAAAAAGATTATAGGACCTTAGGGATTTAGCTCAGTGGCAAAGCAGATTGCTGGTCATTTGAAAGGCCCTGAGCTTGATCCCTAGCAATGCAAAAACAAAGTCCAAAACTGCAAAGACTTTCTCGACTACTGTGTATGTGTGTGCTCACACATCACACTGCACACATGTGGAAGTCGGGGAACAACTACGTTCTCTCCTTCCCACATGGGGGTCCTGGAAATCTAATTCAGATCTTTACCTGCAGAGCCATCTTAGATTTGTGCCCCCCCGCCCCAGGATAGGGTTTCCCAGATCCCAAATGGGCTTTGAACTTCTGAGCTCCTTGCTGGCACCTCCAGGAGACTGGGTTGCAGGTGCATTATCACACCTGTTTATGCCCTGCTGGGGAAGGAACCCAGGGCTTCATGCACGTGAGACAAGCCAAGTGTTCTACCCACCAGGCTCCACCCCCAGGAAATGTACAACATTTAACAGCAAAATAAGGGACACGACCCACCTCAGTGGGAGAATACTTGCCTGGCAGGCGTCAGACCCCAGGTTCAATCTTTACTACCACAAACAAGCAAATGCCTATAGCCTTTCTATCCAGCTGAAGAAAAGGTCAGAGTGTGGTATCTCTTGCCTGTAACTCCAGCACTTGAATAGAGACTGGAGTCCCTGTGAGCTCAAGGCCAACTTGGAATACTTAAAGAATTCCAGGTCAGGACTGGCAAGATGGCTTAGTGGATAAAGACATTTGCCTTTATCAAGTGGATCAAGGCCAGCCTTGAGCTGTGGCTGCCTTCTTCTTCTTTTGTTCTTCCAGACTGGGTTATTGTGTAGCTTCAGAGCCTGTCCTGGAACTCACTCTGTAGACCAGGCTAGCCTCTAACTCACAGAGATCCACCTGCCATTGCCTCTGCAGTGCTGGGATTAAAGGTATGGGCCACCATGCCTGGCAAAAATAATAAATTTAAAAAAAGGGGGGGCTGGAGAAATGGCTCAGTGGTTCAGAGCCCTTGCTGAATCAGAAGACTCGGGTTCAATTCCCAGAACCCACATGGCAGCTAACAACTGTCTCTACCTCCAAGATCTGATACCCTCACACACATATACCAGGCATACATCAGACAAAAGATCAATGCAAGAGGCAAGCGGATCTCTGTGAGTTCAAGGTCAGCCTTGTCTACTGAGCAAGTTCCAGGAGAATCAAAGCTATTACACAGAGAAACCCTGTTTGAGGGGGAAAAAAATAAAACTAAATAAATAAAATCAAGGGGCTGGAGAAATGGCTCAGTGGTTAAGAGCACTGACTGATCTTCCAGAGGACCTGGTTCAATTCCCAGCACCCACATGGCGGCTCACAACTGTCTGAAAATCCAGTTCCAGGGGATCTGACACCTTCGCACCAATGCACATAAAATAAAGATAAATAAATCATAATTTAAATAAATAAATAAAATAAATAAATAAATGCAGATGAAATAAATATATTTTTTAGACACTGCCTCAAAAACTGGAACACAGGGGTCAGGGTGTGGCTGAGCAGGTGGGTTGCTTGCCTAGCATTCACAAAACGCTGGGCTTGAACCAGACGTAAATGGCTCATGCCTGAAGCCCCGGAATCTCAGCACTCCAGAGATAGAGAGGCAGGAGGATAAGAAGTTTGTTTTTTTTTTAATATTTATTTATTTATTATGTATACAATATTCTGTCTGTGTGTATGTCTGCAGGCCAAAAGAGGGCACCAGACATCATTACAGATGGTTGTGAGCCACCATGTGGTTGCTGGGAATTGAACTCAGGACCTTTGGAAGAGCAGGCAATGCTCTTAACCGCTGAGCCATCTCTCCAGTCCAGGATAAGAAGTTTAAAGTCAGTCAGGGCTACTCGAAAGTCTGACTCAAAAACAAAACAAAACAAAAAAAACAAAGAAAAATAGGCGTGAGGGTGTTGAGTCGGCTCAGTGGGCAAAGGTATGTGTGTTACAAACCTGGCAACCGTAGTTTGATCTCTGGAACCCACGTAAAGACAGAAGGAGAGGAGCTGGGCAGTGGTGGCACACATCTTTAACCCCAGCACTCGAGAGGTAGAGACAGGCAGATCTCTGAGTTCAAGCCAGTCTGGTCTATAGAGTGAGTTCCAGGACAGGCTCCAAAGCTACACAGAAAAACCCTATCTTGTGTCGGGGGGAGAACACAAACCTGTCACCTGATTCCCATGAAGGCCAAAGCACACCTGTACCCATGCCTATGCATCACACACACGCTAATAAACAACAGCAATAAAAACAAAATAATTTTAAGTTGACAGTTTTAGTGCTGTGCTGGAGTGTAGCTCAAAGTCCTGGCTGTGATCCTCACCACTACAAAAACAAAACACAATACAGGCAATGCCAGGAAGATAAAGAACGCCAGGCACTTTTCAATGTTGCTGCTGAGCGCTCTGGAAAAAACAGGCAACTCACACAGCTGGAGGCCGGTCAGCCTTTGGCCTCAGCCTCCGGACTAAACTCTTCTGCTTACTGGCTGTGAAATGCTGTTTTGATATGGCATAACTTGGGATTTCCATCCATACCATAAAGCTGTAGGGTGAAGGTGAGACCGTTTGTCCTGTTATTTTTAATTTTTGTCTATATAGAGTTTCACCTAGTCCAGGCTGGCCTCAAACTCACCACGTGGCTGTCAAGGTTGGCCTTGAACTACTGTGTCTCTTGTCTTTGTTTCCCAAGCTCTGGAGTTACAGACATGAGCCACCACACGTGGCTGAATTCATCTTCTCTGTATTTAGGCACACCACACTGTAATTTTTGCCTTTTTTCCTGCTAAGTTGTTCTCTTCTTCGCAGTTTATACAATGTTTAAACAGTATGGACACCGATCCTTCGTAAGCTACTTGCTGACATCACCAACCATGACTTCATCTCCACCCCATCAGCCTGAATCCTACCACCGACTATCCGGGGGACAGCTCCACTCGGATCCCACAGGCACCTCAGACACAGCTGCTGCTCCGGGGCCCCACACCGGTTTGGAAGTCTCGTCTGTGCACCTATCTCAGCTGCTCCAGCTGTCAACCCTGCCGGAACTCTGGAGGAATCACACAGATGCCCTGTAGGTACTGGAGGCCTGTGGGCATTTTCTTGATGCTGGCTGATGCAGGAGGGTGCAGCCTGCTGTGGGTGGTGAGCCCAGAACTGACCACAAGCTTGGGAACAGACAGGAAGGAGGCAGTGTCGCTCTCCGGTCTCGATCACGGCAGAAAACAAACTAGAACAAAACCCGTCCTCGACCGTCTTCCTTTCTACTCCAGGTCTGTCCCAACACAAGGGTTTGCCAATTCCCCTCCAGGGCTCCCTGGAATCTGTCTTCTCCCCCTCGGTCCTCTCCTGATAGCCTATGACAAACCACTGCCTCCTTGGTAGCACCTCTGCAACAGCCCGAGTGTTCTCGGACCACCCATCCATCTCCACCACCCATCCATCTCCACGCTGGGGTTCTACAGAGTATCACTCTCCGGCTAAGATGTTCCAGAGACTCCATCACCTCAGCTACCAAGGCTCATCTCAGCCCACTTCCTTAAAAAAAAAAAACAAAAAACAAAAAAAAAACCCACAATATCCACCACTTTGATTCTCATGAGAGAGCAACTCCATATGTTCCCAGCCACAGGCTTTCCAGAACTAGTCTTTGTTTTTAGCATTATTCCTTCCCCTCCCCCTGTGACTTCCCCGGTAGAATCTAATCCCTCCAGGTCCTCTGAAACGCTGCCCATTCCCGTGCACCCTCCCTGCTTCACGTTCCCAAGCGCTCCATCGGCCCTGCTCATCACTGTCCGCTCAACATCTAGGGCGAGCTCACAGGCGAAGGATTTGCTGCTCTTTTGCCTACTTTCATTTTACATGTATGAGTGCTCTGCCTGCATGTGTGTATGCACACCACATGCGTGCCTAGAGCCCTCAGAGGTCAGAAGAGGGTGTCTGATCCCCTGGAACTGGAGTTACAGGTGGTTAGGAGCCATTATGTGGGCACTGAGAACTGAACCCAGATCCTCGGCAGGATCACTCTGAACCACCCCGCCACCTCTCCAGCCCCAGTAAGTAATGTTTGCATGAGCAAATGGAGACAGCAACACTGTTGCCGTAACATAACACCCAAAATAATCAGATCGTGAATTAAAGGAGTGAAGAGGGCGATTAGAAAGATTAGACAGGCTTAATGAGACCTGGTAATTCAATGATGTGGAGCGTTAGGAAGATTACAGGATGAGACCCCGGTTTCTGGCTTGGATAGCTGAGGCCACAAAGATGGTGGTGGACTTATGAGACACAGAAAGGCTATGAAGCCAACATCCTCTGAAGTAGAATCAGAACAGACTTTGCAAGGATAAAAGAACAATTGCCTAGCTCTGGCCCTGGGGATGAGGACACCTCCACCCCCAATCTGAAAAAGGTGTGAAAGATGCAAGGTCTCTGGAGAGGGCCAGAGTGGCAGCGAGAACAAGTCGGGAGTTCTAGAAAGCTCTGTGAAAAGATGGAGACAGTAAGAGGGGA